GGGGAAATGTCTGTGTGTCTTTTGGAGCGAATATGGAGCGGCCGGCCCGGAATTCCCCCCGTGTTAGAATACCAGGCCTGCCGCCTGGCTCCAGCAGTCCCACGTGTTCCTCGATCCAGCAGTGTCCTTAGTCTACTCTCCCCGGCGCCGGCATTGGGCACCCGGCTGTGACAGCTTGGGGCTTCACAGCTGGGTGCGCACTGCGCATGCGCGAGAAGCGCTGCACTTTGTGAATGGTTATCTGTAGTCTTCTGGGACCTGTCACGTGTCCCAGAAGATTTGGGGAGGGAGGTGGAAGGACAACTCTGCAGAAGAGGGAGCGGGTACTTGTCAAATTCGGGTACCTGCCCCCCCTGCTTCCAAAGGGTCATCTCCTGTACCGCGTCCGCAGTCTCTGGTCATCTCCTGTACCTGTCCGCAGTCTCTGGTCATCTCCTGCACCGTGTCCGCAGTCTCTGGTCATCTCCTGTACCGTGTCCGCAGTCTCTGGTCATCTCCTGTACCGTGTCCGCAGTCTCTGGTCATCTCCTGTACCGTGTCCGCAGTCTCTGGTCATCTCCTGTACCGTGTCCGCAGTCTCTGGTCATCTCCTGTACCGTGTCCGCAGTCTCTGGTCATCTCCTGTACCGTGTCCGCAGTCTCTGGTCATCTCCTGTACCGTGTCCGCAGTCTCTGGTCATCTCCTGTACCGTGTCCGCAGTCTCTGGTCATCTCCTGTACCGTGTCCGCAGTCTCTGGTCATCTCCTGTACCGCGTCCGCAGTCTCTGGTCATCTCCTGTACCGTGTCCGCAGTCTCTGGTCATCTCCTGTACTGTGTCCGCAGTCTCTGGTCATCTCCTGTACCGCGTCCGCAGTCTCTGGTCATCTCCTGTACTGTGTCCGCAGTCTCTGGTCATCTCCTGTACCGTGTCCGCAGTCTCTGGTCATCTCCTGTACCGCGTCCGCAGTCTCTGGTCATCTCCTGCACCGTGTCCGCAGTGTCTGGTCATCCCCTGCACTGTGTCCGCAGTCTCTGGTCATCCCCTGTACCGTGTCCGCAGTCTCTGGTCATCTCCTGTACTCTGTCCGCAGTCTCTGGTCATCTCCTGTACCGCGTCCGCAGTCTCTGGTCATCTCCTGTACTGTGTCCGCAGTCTCTGGTCATCTCCTGTACCGTGTCCGCAGTCTCTGGTCATCTCCTGTACTGTGTCCGCAGTCTCTGGTCATCTCCTGTACTGTGTCCGCAGTCTCTGGTCATCTCCTGTACTGTGTCCGCAGTCTCTGGTCATCTCCTGTACCGCGTCCGCAGTCTCTGGTCATCTCCTGTACTGTGTCCGCAGTCTCTGGTCATCTCCTGTACTGTGTCCGCAGTCTCTGGTCATCTCCTGTACCGTGTCCGCAGTCTCTCTCCTGTACCGCGTCCGCAGTCTCTGGTCATCTCCTGTACCGCGTCCGCAGTCTCTGGTCATCTCCTGTACTATGTCTGCAATCCATTGGTTCAGAATATTTTTTTTTCCTGTTTTCCTCCTCTAAAATCTAGGTGCGTCTTATGGTCAGATGAGTTTTATGGAGTGAAAAATACAGTAGTTTTTACTGCCCCACACAGCTGGTGCAAGGGTCTGGGAATTTGAAAGTCATGGTCTTTTTCCAGGACGGATCAGAACAAATCTGATTGATCAAAGCAGTCACGTGCCAGCACATGACCAACCAGAGTCACTCTGATCCAGGAGAGGGAAGACGACTGCAGCTTTCAAATCCCTGAACCTCTGCACCGACTGCATGGGCATTAAAAGCTAAATGCAGCAAGGGACTGGGGGATAGGGGGGTACGGTGTTTTTTCGCCTTTTCATTTTTTTTTTTTTTTTTAAATGAACTAAAGTAAAAACTAACATCCTACATCCCATCCCCCCCCCCAGCACTTCCCTCCATAGATGATTATCCGTCACTACCCATGGAACTGGTGCAGAGAATCAGGGATCTGAAAGCCTCTCTTCTTCCCCCTCCTTCCTTAACCACTTGCATACCGCCCACCCACAATGTACTGCTGCAAATAGCTTCCTGAAATCATTGCAGCACTCTGCTTTACTACTTCTCGCTCTTGGGATGAGTTATATAAACATCAAAATGTCTTGATGGGTCAGTCTGGCGGAGTGGGCGTTCCTAGGCAGGCTGCATGCAGACCACCCTAGCTAACAGCCACACGTGATGTTGGGTGACATGCTTGAAAGTATAACTAAAGGCAAAACTTTTTCTAGTTTTGGATGGAGTGGAGAGGGACACCTATTAGGTTTCTATTGCTGTCTGTGTCCCCGTATTAGGGAAAGTCACCCTCTCTATGTGTCCCATTTACAGTTAAAGTAGAACTACAGGCAAAACCTTTTTCATTATGGAGTAAAGGAGGGTTATAACCCGTCAGTAATTTTTTTTTTCCATCTGTGTCCCCATTGGGGAGATTTCCCTTCACTTACTGTCCCATAGCCAAAACAGGAAGTGAGAGGAAATCTCTGCAAAACAAGGGAA